CATATACTTGTCAATTTATATCACTTTAGTCAATATACAATTAATTTCATTGCATGCTCCTCTGCATGATAATTTTGTACGTCACTCAAGGTTTATTCGTCTTTCCCCTGTGTCTTTATTTTCGCCAATCCCAACTCACTGATGAGCTCCGGGGATTGACGAAATAATAAGGTTCGTCTGAGGAAGGAGCGAAACGAACCGTTTTAATTATTTTGTTTATAATGGTTTTTCTTTCTTAATTACCGGGTGAAGTGACAGGCAGACTCCTAAAAGGTGCGGGCCATCACGCAGTTCGTATCGAAGAATATGCCCAAGCGATCTGTCAGGGTCCTCCCTTCGACGCAGTTGGCCCGAGCAGCACCGAAGTGAGTCGTACCAGTGCGGTCATCAGCGAACAGGAAAGGTTCCAAGCTGTTTCTCATGGGTTCTTCTTCATCCCTGCTCCACTAACCAACTCTATCTCTCGTTCCTATAAACTACTCATCGTAAAACCTGGCTTTGGGGTGGAAATTCAATACAGAAATACAACACAAAGGCATTCATGTCAAACAAGGCACAGTCGATGTAGCGACTGGATGAGTCTGCCAAATTCAAAGCTGTATAACAGTCCGAGAATGTGCTCTTACAAAAGTTCCGTGTTCTCACGAATGAGATTACTTAAGTAGATAGCTTGTATTGAATACGAAGTTATAATAGTATTAAGTAGTTCTCAACACACACACACGTTCCCCTCATTTTGCACAAGTCACGTTGCCGCAAGGCATTATGAAGGGGAAAAAGTCACAATTTCAAAAGTCGTGATAACTTCCCCTACAACCTGGTAAATAAGCGGAGCAGTTTAATGCCCTGATTCATGAAAATGATCACGCGATCTCTTGCATGTACTGAGAGCACCACTACCGCTGTATCACTGCTGGCGACATGATGTACGACTGCACAGAGCAAAAATTGGCTCGCCGGAGTTGATTTTCACTATTTTTTCTCTCTTGAATGATTCGCAGCAATTTTGATTTGTTTCCTATTATGGTTTCTGATTCTTCAATTCATTGGTATTCAAAGGATCACAAAACGTGTTTTTCACAACAGAGAGAAATTTGCACAGGGAGTGTTTGTTAAAAACTTTCACCCCGCTTTTTGACAGCTCCTGTAGGCCTTTGCTTTTCTTTGGTTCAGCTGATCAAGAACGTTCTGGATCAAAGAATTCATCTTTAAAAAAGTTGAATCTTACATATATCGTTTCGGACACCGATTGTGGAGAACTGATGTTCTTGCAACCAACTGATTTCCTGATGGGTTGATTATTTACATCTGTCCCAATTCGCATCAACACACATCTGTTCTCTATCTGTAAACCAGGATAACCTCCTACTCAGTTCTGAGCTGTTTTAAACGGAAAAGTGGTCTAATCTGAAGGTTATCTCTGTTCAAATAGCTTTGTTTTTGCATGGTAACCCTTCAGAAGGACCGCTTCCGTTGGCCCGCTTAGGGCTTCTCAAGCCTCATGACGCATGGATTCGTTGTCTTGAGTTTGTCGTGGCTGGCTGGGGCTTTCCTTGTTACTGATGTCAAATTCACTGCTTTTCAAGATCCGAAACCAAGACAGACTGGGAGGAAGTAGGCACCGATCAAAGTGACCTTCTGCGAAAGTTTCATGAACTTCAGGAGTTGATTTCTTCACCAAGAGCAGAAGTAAAGGTCGAAGGTGATTAAGAGCTTCCGATTTTAACCGCCTGTATACAAGAGGCAAACCACTAACAACGGCAGAGAAACAGCCATGTGATGCAGGGTTGTGACGTCAATATCAAGTGTTTTGTTGAATTTTGTTTATCATTGAACTGTCTATGATGAATGCCACTGAGCAAACGTTACAGTGCAAAACCGATACATGTTGGGGCGCAGGTTTGTACGTCATGATAAGCAACGACGGCTTAGACCTCGGAATTCATATGCTTTCTATTATTGGTACCAGACTTGTCTGGGAGGATAAAAACACTGACTTGTACATCGGCTGGCCCCCGCAAGTCATTGTATAGGCCACATCGCATTCAAACGCCACTACGAATGTACAAATGGAAGTAGAATGCGTGCCGCATCCCAAAAAGGGATTGATCAACGGCAAATGCTTTATCCTTTATCCTTATTATACCGTTTTTAATTGGTTTGCATCACGGTTATCGCCGGAAGGCACTAATAAGCAATTGTGAGCAAGGATACAGTGGATGGGAGGAGGGGAGGGGGAGGTGGTCTGAATATTTTATTCGCAAAACCTTCATACCCTGACTAATGAATATGATTTCAGCAGCAGCAAGCAAGGGGGTCTAATAGTCGTGCCCTTCTCAAAATCCCTTTCATTTTCAGACATAATTTCCCTAGGTCATAGTTGTGGTTCTGGCAACAAAGCGCTGCCATGGAGAGCTACCATGATCCTTCAATTCCGTTAGTGTGTCAGAGTTTGTGAGTCACAAACGCATGAGCTGCTTGTCGTGACATACAAAATAAAGGCATCCCCTCATATCAGTTTGCAAACAAAACCCCAGGGAAATGTGGCTCGGGGGGGGGGGGGGGAGTTCCGCGGCGCGTCGCATGTTCGCGTGCCCCCAATGCGGGAAGGGAATATGTGAGCCAGGGGGAGCGTAGCCAGCATAAGGGGAGGGGAATGAGGGCAGTCACTTGACATGCGTGAAAAGCTGGAAGCTTTCGAGTTTTCACTATTTCTGCATCGCGACAGCGACTGGCCATTCCCCCCCCCCCCCCCCCACCACAAGCAATCTGACGCCCAAAAGTTCGGCAGGATAAGCAACCAAGCCCCACATGTATTATCTAAGAGCAAGGTAAAAAGGATTTAAAAAATGTCTCACAAGCTCATTAAGAGTAAGTCAATTATCCGCTAATTATTATGTTGAGGTTGTGGTTCTGCAGCCAGTGTTCAGTTTGTCGTACCCCAGGCACCCTTATGTCGGGACAAATCAGCAAATAAGTAAGCTACGATTAAAAGTTAGCCATTAGTAAGTAGACGCTGTTTATTGATATTCAGCTGTTGTTTAGGGTTGAAAGGTAGCTGTTCTATAGGACAAAACAAAGAGCTTCATCCAAACGCATGGGTGAGAATATTCCTCTTCCTCTTCCACAATTACGTCCGCAGTTGTGTCGCACTTGGTGTAAGAGTATTTCATGTGAGAGGGTGGTATGATCTAACTCCTCGGCTGATGACGGGAATGGTGAGTCCTCACAAGAACCCTTTACCTACTTTTCAAAACCACAAGCATTCCTAGTTTTTTTTTCAATACAAATCTGAAATGTTCGAAGTTACAAAAATGTTTGCGTCGACAAGATCCCAAAAGTCCGTTTCGTCAACTCAAGGATAAAAACGAGAAATGGAGGTAATAACTTCGTATGCATGCAGGATACGAAGTCTTACCAGGAAGGTCTTTCAGGGCGTGACGAGCTTTTTGAAAACGGTCTTTTGCATGATATAGGGGCAGATGCGGGGACCACAGAACCATGTTTAATTTTTCCTGAACGGCCCTCTGAATACCAGAAAAGGGGTCCCTAGTTCGATTCCTCTTGGTGACAAATTTTTGCATTTCGAGTTGACGTTCCAAAATTCGCGCAAAATGGAGTTAGCATGAATAATTAGTACCATATTCATGATTAGGGCCGTCAGTAACTCCTACAAAAAGACTTTGACTTAAAAATTGGTGTGAAGAGGTGTGACACCAAGCAGCCCCACTGTGGTGTCACACCTTTTTCACCAGTTTTTTAATCAAAGTCTATTTGTAAGGGTTACTGACGGTCCTAATCATGAATATGGTACTAATTATTCATGCTAACTCCATTTTGCGCGAATTTGGCACGTCAACTCGAAATGCAAAAATTTGTTACCACGAGGAATCGAACTAGGGACCTCCTTTTCTGGTATTCAGAGGGCCGTTCAGGAAAAATTGAACATGGTTCTGTGGTTCCCGCATCTGCCCCTATATCATGCAAAAGACCGTTTTCAAAAAGCTTGTCACGCCCTGAAAGACCTTCCTGGTCAATAAACTCATATTCTAGAGCAAGCTTGCGAAATCTGAATAAACATTGAAGAGAAAAGTTTTAGGACCTTTAGGAATAGTGTCATTTATCACATCGTTTTGAAGCGATTGTTCTCGCTGAGCGTTGGGCGGAACCAGGGTCAACCGCCCTTTGCGCAGAGAACAACGAGGAGGTCGTATTTGGCAATGGTAGGGGAGGAGGTCGTAACTACAACAACCAAGGAAAAAAGTTGAAGGTGCCGAAGCATGGTTAAGTACCAAAGTAGAACAGACTTACAACTACCACTGGGACTACGCACCACAGACGACTGAATAGCGCATTCCAGAGTAAGATTTCTTACTAAAATACGTCATGATTCACAGAGCGGCAAGCGACAAATTTCTTCAGAGAAACTTCCGTACTTTTAGACCAACTGAAAGTGTAGAAAAGTGCAGCAAATTTGGCGAAGTGGCCTCTAAAGTCCTGAAAGATTCTTCTGACAGGAGGGAAGTTTCCCTTTTAAGACATCTATTAGGTTGGAAAGAAAGTTCTGCAACACTCTTTCTAAAATTTTCTTTTTTCTGAAAAATTCATAGGTAACATTTATGACTAAAAATGGTAGAGCATTCTCGAGGCTTCAATCCACGAGGTGGATATAAGTGCTGCAGTCAGTAGTTATCCAAGAGAAAAAAAATCTCGACCATGCCTTTCAAAAAAAGCCTTGAAACATTGAGTGAATTCTGAAGAAATAATAAAAGGACTGGGAATTTGATTCACTCTACAGGGCGGAATAGGAAAGCTGGACATTGCATTATGCTCACAAAGCTGTTGTGAAAAGTAAGCGAGTCACATACATATGTTCCTGTTTCTGTGAATTGTGAACTATTGCCTTTCGAGAAAGTGGTTATATGTTGGCATTTTTGTTCAATGAATGCAAATATTCGCTGAAGCTAAATGTTCATGTGCGCTGGTTATCGTTCACATTCCAGGTATACAAGTGCGATTTAGAAAAAATTGCGCATCGGTTGCTTAATTATGATGGCTCGCATTACCATCTTCATGTGTATGCGGTCAACCATTATGAAGGGTAAACATACTACATCTTGGATCTATTTCTCACTTCAAATGATTTTTCGCTTGTTTAGCCCAATTGCCAACAGTAGCAGATGGATGTATGAGATGGTAAACGCCACTGACTTCTGGCTAGGCAACTTTCCCTCACAACAACGAGTAAGATTTCATTTTTCCAGTGTTGGTCGGGAGGTTCACTTTGCGTATCATTTTTGCTTTGACCGTGCTGCCTATGCTTTAATATTAGCAATGGGGTCGCTGTCGTGGGTTTCCTGACCAAACTTCATTACCCTTCCCTTTATATTGCTTTGTTAATTACCAACGTGATTTTTACAGCTTATGTTTCCTAATGTTCCTTATATTGGGTTGTGCGTATACAACCAAGAGTAGGCACGGAAGGCCATGGTTGAAAGTAGTCTGCGTTTTGAGGATATGCGGTACGTGATTATAAACCGACAAATACGATCCTATTAGATACGCTTTGCTTACAGGCACCCGTGGGATCCTTTTATGCCAAAACCGTCTGGAAAGCCGTGCAAAACGGACAGTGAATTGCAGGAAATTCGGTTGGAATTTTGAATGTTCCGCTATAATGGGCCTTTGCTTTTGCTCAAAGTAACTCGAAATATTGGATTGCGTGATTCTTGAGAACTGTGTGAGCTGATTCGATCGAAGTCAACCTTCCTTATCAACCTTGTATGTGATCAAATTCAGCTGGACTTCGCAGCATACCATTCTGTTCAATAAATGTAGCTACTACCAAAGATCGGGTTTCACTGTGCTCGGTTGTTCTGTTCTGTTGCTTTGCTATGAAATATGTACGATGTTTATTTACTTCATGGATACTTGTGCGTTTACCGGTAAACAAACTAAAAAGTGGCCAGGCATGTGGCATAAATAGCTGCTACAGTGAATTTTGTTCCTTGATTCCACCGAGCTGGTTCACG